TTTTCTCAAATGAAGGTTAGCTGTTTGGTTCTAGGCTCAACAGATTTTCAATATGAACAACATAATGCCTTGATCTTTTCCAAAATTTCTTACAAGAGCAACAATTTCAAGAATCAATCAATGCAAACACATATGCTATGATGGTGACTCTCAAACATATAAGTGTATGTATTGGGTGTTCTCACTCACCGGCTTGGCTCAATAAATCCAACTACTGACCTTTCATGTCAAGTTAAAGAGATGCTCATGAATTCTAAGATCATGCATAAATGATAGAGTGCAACCAAAAGATGAGTATTAACAACACTTTTTTTTTCGGTGAATTTAAAGATGAAAATTTTCTTCTTGTTGATTTGAAACAACTTGACTATCCAAGAATGATTATCTAATGATTCCCAAAAATTGCCACCTATTTCCCAAAAAATTGTTATCATCTGTTGTCATCATATTAACTATATACAAGACTTTACTCTAACTTGTCTTTCAAAAAGAACTGAGTGTTTCAACAGTCAGTGATCATTCACAAACTAGTGACTTTCCACAAAAAACACAAAAGGTTCACCAGTACTTGACCTAAGCACCAAAAGCCAAAACAGCACATGCATAATTATAACATCCAACACATAAAACCATGATTAACACAAAACAAACAGATAGTTTAAACTGAACAAGCTAACAATAAACCACCACAATATTTAAATACTAAAATTTAAAATTGCAAAAAATTTTAAAATGAACTCTTCTCCACAGTCTGTCTCAGAAATTCTCTGACTCGGATTCCTCTTCTTCTCCTTTCTCTTCTTCTTCTGCTTCTTCATCTCTTTTTTTCTCACTATCTACACCCTCATTTTTATTGCTTCCTTCCTCATTCTTCTCAATCTCTTCCTCAACCTCCCTCAATTCAACATTTTCTTCCTTTTCATTTTTCTCATTTTTCTCACTCACCTCAACATCACTACCTACCACCTTCCCACTTCTTGTTGTTATGGCTTGGCAATACTCCTTGGGGTTGGTCTTGGTGTTGGCTGAAAATGGGCCTTCAGACATGTCAACTAATTGCTTAGCTAGCTGACCCACCTGTACTTCTAAATTCTTGATGGAAGCTTCATTATTTTTTTGGTTGTTCATAGACACCTGCATGAATTGGTTTAGAGTCTCCTCCAATTTACTGATTCTTTCATGCATAGAGGGATACACAGGTTGTTGTTGTTGTGGTGGCCTATTGGATGGTCCAGCTTCATTCCTCCACCCATAACCTTGGTTGCTATTAGCATTGTTTCTCCAACCTTGGTTTTCCTGCATATAATCGTTAGTATTGTAATTGTGGGAATTAAAGTTACCTCCTTTTGGTTGGTTACCCAAATAATTGACTTCTTCTCCATTAGAATTTGCTGCACAATAACCATTTGGGTGCTCTCCCCCACAAAAATCACATCTAAGAGGAGGGTTTGGCTGAATTGGAGGGGAATTAATAACATGAAGTTGTTGTGGTATCTTGGCCATTTTCTTAGTCAGGGCTTCAATTGTTGAGATAGCAACTTGTTTTGAGCCAAGATTGCATCATTGGTGCTCAGATCCATAATTCGTCTTTTGTGAGACTGATGTCTACCATGCTCTGCTTGATGATCAGAAGAAGCCAAGGACTCTATGATCTGAGTAGCTTCCTCTGGTCCTACAAACATCATAGTACCACCAGCTGCTGCGTCTAATAACATCTGCACCTCAGGTTTGATTCCATTAACAAAGAAATTGAGTTGAGCTATATCTTCAAACCCATGGTTAGGAAATTTTCTGAGCAATGATTTGAATCTTTCCCAGGCTTCACAAAATGGCTCATCCATACCTTGCCTGAAAGTAGTGATTTCTGATTTGGCCTTGATATACTTGGATGAAGGATAAAATCTATTCACAAATTTGTTCTCCACATCACTCCAACTTGTTAAACTTTGATTAGGATGAGATTGTAGCCATATTTTAGCTTTTCCTGTCAACGAAAATGGAAACAATCTCAAGTACACAGCTTCTTCATCACCTTCAGGAATGCACATCCTTTCAAGGAAAGTCCACCAATACATGGCATACCCTTGAAAGCTTAGGGTAGCTAGCGGAACTCCTTTCTTCACTTACATTGTGGTTAGTGAAGAATTGTTCCACCTTCATCTCTCAATCCAAATTAAATAATCATCTACATTATCCTTACCTTAGAAGGGAGGAAGTTCAAATCTAGGTTCTCTTGGATAGCTTGATTCGTGCCTAGGCCTATGTTGCCTAGGGTGTCTTTGATAATAGCCATCATCATGGTGGCTATTATAGAACCCTTCACTTGAAGATGAGTAAGTTTATGAAGTGGTGGGATTTAAGCAAAGAATTTCCCAAACAACCACTCCTAAATGTGAGTTTGATTTAACAAAGAAAAGCAAGAAATTAACCCAAGGATAGAGTTAAAGATTTACAAGAAAATGAATGAAATACAATACAAGAAATTTAAAATTTTCACCAAAAATTAGTGACCAAATTTGGAGACAGCTTTGTGACTGATTTGGAGCATCCCACACAAATCTATCTCTAAAATCTGTCTCTAAGGTACAACTTTCCCTTGTTGGAACATTGTTCTTGGAATTCCATCTCTAATCTAGTCGCTAAACCTGTCTCAACTGGTACCAGAATTAGTGTTGCTAGAATCCGTCTTTAATTTCGTCTCTAAATCTGTCTCAAAATCTGCCACCTAAAACAAAAGTTTTCTTGCCTGCAAAATAAGCAAACAAATGATCCTTTCCAATGTGTTTCACTCAATGATTTTATTACCTCAATCTTCCTCAAGTTGTGACCTTTTTGAGATGAATCCAATATGTCTTAATTATCCCTCCTTTCCAAGTGTAATGGCTTGAAAATGGATTAGCTTCACCAAGGCTTAAAAACCATCATGAGAATGTGGAGTCCAATAAAATCAAAACTAAAAATGCACAATTATAAGAGGCTAAACTCAAGTAGGAATTATTGTGACAAACTCAAGCCAAAAAAGACACAAAGCAATAATTAAAGGCTAATTTCAACACTAGCACTCAAAGGAATAATCCTAGGAATGGCTCTAGAGTTGATTATAAAATCAAAACAAAAATTGTGATATTATTTTGAATATTTAGAAATGTTTTTCCAACCACTGGACAACAAGTAAACCTCAAGAAAAATCACATAAAAATTTCAAGGCCAAGTGCTCCTAATACTTCTTTGTTTTTCACTTTTCTTTTCCTAGCTTTTGCTTTTGTTTTTTCCTCTTTTTTCCTTCTTTTCGTGCCCTAAAATACGTTCTGTCCAAGGGAAAGTTGGGATTTTTAACCCAAGGCTGCAACTCTGGATTGGGGGCTGTAGCTCTGAATTTATGGACTGCCCAAAATGTTCCAAGGCTGGAGCTCTGGTTTCATGGCTAAAGCTTCAACTCTCTGGAATACCTCTTTGTTTCGAGGCTGCAGCTTTGGCTCTGGAGCTATAGCCTTAACTCTCTGGAACACTTCTTTTTGGTTCAGGATTCATGGCTGCAGCTTTGGCTTTGGGGCTATAGCCTTGGATTTCCAACTTCATCAAAACCTACACAAAAAGGAAATATTTTCAGCCAAAGAAACTACACTCTTGTAACTCCTTAGATTAATCTTAGTTCATCTATTTGGAGGGTCAAATACAACCAAAATTACTTACATCTCTCCCAAAAAGAGTGCCAAATTAAGCATAAAAATATGCAATTTGAGCACTTATCAATGAGCTCTTATCAGCCTGAAGAAAAGGCCTATTTTGCATGAAGAAATGCAGCCATTGCTGATGATGAGGAGTAACCTGTTGAGGAGGAAGCTATTGATATTGATGTAGGACAACAGTAGGACCAGTCCCTGTCATTGAGACCACTTCATGTCACTTTGACTTGCTTTGTGCTTTTCTGTTTCCATTTCTCTTTTTAGTATTTTAGTAGTTTGATGTAGTAACTTGAACTATTTGATGGTTTAGTTTTTGTGACATTTATACCTTTTATGCATGCCTCTGTTATTCAATTTGTTGTTTTGGATATGCTAGCTTATGTTTACATAATTGGTTATGCTCTTTTGTACAATTTCATGCTTCACGCTTTCCACTTATTTAAATTAAAAAGATTGAAAATTTTAAATTTTGGATTTCTTTCTGATTATTTAATCATGGTTGTGTCACTAGATTATATAATGTTAAGTAATGGTGTAGAATATAGATAAAAATTCTTTGTTATACTAATATATGATAATAATATAGTGAAATCCAATTTCAATAGTTCCTCCTTATTGATTTTTTTAATATTTTATTGTTAAGCATTTGAAAATCTCTAAAAGCAATTGTCTATTTAATTGCATTTCTTGTTTGCTTTACACTTTAACTCATGTCAAATCATATTTAACAAAATAAATTTTATTATAAGTTTAAATTATTGTATGAGTTTATATTACTAAACATTACACAAGTTCCTTTAAAAAAATTAATCTAACTTTAAAATACTACAATGCGACTTGATACCCTTCTCAATCCAATAGCAATTAGCTGGGGGATAAATATCTAAGTGATTGAGTAGCACAAATATAATTTTAGTCTTTATAGTATATTAAATATTATTATTATTATTATTATTATTATTAATTCATCACCAATATTATTAATACTAATATTATATATTATATATATAGAGAGAGATAAAAATAGATAAATAAATAATATGTTTTATTTAATAATACTAAATATGTATTATTTTGATTTCCATTCAAAATATATATTTCCTTTGTTAATGTATCAAAGTAATTTATTAGCCAAATGCTTAAGTGTTGTTGTAATTAAGGCAACTAGGCAAGGAAGATAAGATAACATTTTTAACATTTTAACAATTTCCTCTCCCATTTTGAAATGCTACGCTATCGCAACTTTGATCAACATCTACATTAGGCATTAAATATCTAAGCCAATATTTAAATTCTATTAAAAAAACAGTAACATAAAAAAAAACTCTTTTATAATAAGGTTTTCATGAAGAATTTTCATTCATATAAATGAATTACAATTTTGTAGAGAAGGCGCCATCCATAAATAAATTTCTGAAAGAAAAGAATCCACCCTCAACCTCAAGCCAAGCCTCAACTCTTTTTTCACCCAAAAATGAAAAAATAAGAACGAAAAAAAAAAATGAAAGCAACTGGTTAGAAACAGTTGCTCATAGTTGAAACAAAAATTGAAGAACCAGAATATTGAAACAAAAATAAAGCAACTAGTTTGAGGTTTTGTTAACACTTGGGAAGATCAGCTGGCGGAGGAAACAGCTTCTGATTAGGGAGCTTTCCATCCAACACCACCCATGCCATCTTAAGACCCCAGCTTGTGTGCACTTCCAAGTGACAATGCATGAACCATACCCCTGTACACACAATTATTAAGTTTGCATTTTTTTTCTAATTTAACAAAACCAACCAAAATATTTTTTTAACTAGAACGTAAATTTGATCATGTGAATAAACTATGCATCAATGTAACCAACCTGGATTATCTGCTAGGAATCTGATAGCAACCCATCCACCAGATGGGACACCAACAGTGTTCCTTTCAACAGGATCAACAAGGTTGAAGTTTGCAGGGTCCTTATTTGGATCAAAGTTGCCAAAACCTTGACCAACAACAAACCTGCCAATCAACCTGGGGGAAGTCTTTCATCTCACAACACCAAAAAGAAGATATCAAGTACAAGATCAGTAAGGTTGCTAGATCCCTAAAACTAGTACAAGATCGAAAAAGGTTGCTAGATCCTCAAAACTAGTACAAGATCAGTAAGGGTTGCTAGATCCCCAAAACTAGTACAAGATCAGTAAGGGTTGCTAGATCCCCAAAACTAGTACAAGATCAGAAAAGATTGCTAGATCCTCAAAACTAGTACAAGATCGGTAAGGGTTGCTAGATCCCTAAAACTAGTACAAGATCAGACCTTCATCTCTCAATCCAAATTAAATAATCATCTACATTATCCTTACCTTAGAAGGGAGGAAGTTCAAATCTAGGTTCTCTTGGATAGCTTGATTCGTGCCTAGGCCTATGTTGCCTAGGGTGTCTTTGATAATAGCCATCATCATGGTGGCTATTATAGAACCCTTCACTTGAAGATGAGTAAGTTTATGAAGTGGTGGGATTTAAGCAAAGAATTTCCCAAACAACCACTCCTAAATGTGAGTTTGATTTAACAAAGAAAAGCAAGAAATTAACCCAAGGATAGAGTTAAAGATTTACAAGAAAATGAATGAAATACAATACAAGAAATTTAAAATTTTCACCAAAAATTAGTGACCAAATTTGGAGACAGCTTTGTGACTGATTTGGAGCATCCCACACAAATCTATCTCTAAAATCTGTCTCTAAGGTACAACTTTCCCTTGTTGGAACATTGTTCTTGGAATTCCATCTCTAATCTAGTCGCTAAACCTGTCTCAACTGGTACCAGAATTAGTGTTGCTAGAATCCGTCTTTAATTTCGTCTCTAAATCTGTCTCAAAATCTGCCACCTAAAACAAAAGTTTTCTTGCCTGCAAAATAAGCAAACAAATGATCCTTTCCAATGTGTTTCACTCAATGATTTTATTACCTCAATCTTCCTCAAGTTGTGACCTTTTTGAGATGAATCCAATATGTCTTAATTATCCCTCCTTTCCAAGTGTAATGGCTTGAAAATGGATTAGCTTCACCAAGGCTTAAAAACCATCATGAGAATGTGGAGTCCAATAAAATCAAAACTAAAAATGCACAATTATAAGAGGCTAAACTCAAGTAGGAATTATTGTGACAAACTCAAGCCAAAAAAGACACAAAGCAATAATTAAAGGCTAATTTCAACACTAGCACTCAAAGGAATAATCCTAGGAATGGCTCTAGAGTTGATTATAAAATCAAAACAAAAATTGTGATATTATTTTGAATATTTAGAAATGTTTTTCCAACCACTGGACAACAAGTAAACCTCAAGAAAAATCACATAAAAATTTCAAGGCCAAGTGCTCCTAATACTTCTTTGTTTTTCACTTTTCTTTTCCTAGCTTTTGCTTTTGTTTTCTTTTTTTCATTTGTTGTCTTCTTGACTCTTTCTTTTCTTTTCTTTTATTTTTTTATACTAAATATAAGCACTTAAAAATAGAGGCCAAACAATTATAAAAGAGGTTTCCAAGTGGTGGATAAAAGAGGAGTAAGAAGTGTAAGTGTACAAGTCAAAAATTCAATCACAATAGTTACTAGTTTTGCTACTAGTTTGTTCTTCTTTTTGTACACCTTTGATTTTCGTTTTTAATACACTTATTAATCTGTTTTGTTTTTCAAAATAAGCACAAAAAGACACAAGGAATTGCAGGCCTTAGATTGCTAAGAAACAAATAGTAATTGAGGTTCACAAAAATTGACTCTATATATGTGCCAAGGTTGATCTTCAAACTCTTATTACTATTACTAGGAGTTTGAAAGTAGGAGTTGATGAAATGGATCAAAATGGTAGGGTATATATATAGGAATTGGAGTGGATCAGTGATGAGATTAGGTGGCGCAATATTGTCTCATTGAATCAACATTGCTGTGTTCTAACGAGAATAGTTGTTAGAACAACTTAAGAGTAGTGTCAAAGACATTCAAATTCATTTAACCTCCTTCTTCTGCAAGTCCAACTCCTTAACAAAACAATTTGGTGTTCTAAATCTCAATAGTAATGTTGTGTATGCCATCTGAAAGGAACTGAAGTGATCATTCATTGGTCGCATGTAACTCTCTCAACCAATGTTCTTGCTCCCAAAGTAACACTGTTTCTATCAATGTGTCACTTTCACTGTTCGAGGCCAGATAGTTTTTTGTTGCCTTAAGTCAGAGATCTAATGTACACGGAATGATTATAGCCGAAATTTAATTGAAGCCATTTCCTTCAATAACAAAGATTAATAGATGTACAACTAAGTTTAGAGGCCTCGTGTGCATGGAAATATAAAACAAAACAAAAATGATTGACGTTACCATTGTTCGTTTGGTCTCACTGTGATCAATTACATGATTGGTTACATCGCCACAACTAATATACGAGTCGTATGCTTCCATACTAATTATATCTTTCATTCCATTTTTTTTTTTCTTCTGATTCTCCCCACTCAATGACAGTTTTGCAAATATGAGATTATGTCATTATACATTAAGAATAATCAAATTATATCTTGCTAAATAATTGTTGAAAAGTAATGACAAGTTAATCCGAACCACTGCTTGTCAAAAAGTGTATATGATACTAAAAATGAAAGAAATGAGTTAGATAGATTGACTCAATCGGAAATTCAATCACTAAAATTTATCATGTCGCTGGTTAATGCAACTCATAAAATCTATTTAATGTTATGTTACCATATGGGTTATCTTCCGACATGTCGGTAAATTTGTTTGTGTCAAATTTTTAAACAATCATTTATTACATCTCTCTTTTATATATTCATATACTTCATTCACCTTTCATTATCAATTTTAACCTAAATTAACATATTCAATCCTTCACTTCTATGTTGTCGAATTCTTATTTCGCAATGCAATCCTCATAGAAAATTTTAAGTGATGTTCTTTCTTCTCCCTTTTTCACTATTAATTTTTTTTCTCAAACATAATTTGAGATTTGATAAATCATTTTGCAAGAGAATGAGAATTATCCAGGCCATCAAATTTTTGAACACAGAAAATTTAAAGTGGAACTCTTTCTTATCTTTTCTTTTCGCTCTCATGTTTTTTTTCCTCATACATGATTTGAAATTTGATAATTCATTTTGTATGAGAAGGAGAATCATATGAAAGTTGTTGAGGGTATCAAATTTCTCCTCTATATATTGTTACACTCAATCCACCTTTTATTATCAATTTTAGTCTAAATTAACATATATATTCAATCTTTCGATCTTATGTTGTCCAATTCTTATTTTACACTACAATTCTCATAAAAAAAAAATTTAAAGTGATATTCTTTCTTCACTTTCTTCACTCTTATTTTTTTTCCTCAAATGAGATTTGATAATTCATTTTGTAAGTGAACAAGAATTATATGAGAATCATCGATCGAGACCATCAAATTTTTGGACACAGAAAAATATAAAGTGATATTCCTTCTTTATCTTTTCTTTTTTTGCTCTTAATTATTTTCTCATATATGATTTAAGATTTAATAATTCATTTTGCAAGAGAAGGAGAATCAGATGAGAATTGTCAAGGCTATGAAATTTTGGGACACAGAGAAAATCGTCATATTCTTTCATTTTTTTTCACTTTTAATTTTTTTCCTCATACATGATTTTAAATTTGATATTTTATTTTGCAAGGGAAGGAGAATCATATGAGAACCATTGAGATCAACAAATATTGGGATACATGAAGATGCATCCATTAAAGGACAAGAAAGTTTTATTTATTTTCCATGTAACAAGCACCGAATAAGTTAGATTTATAATCTTTATTTCTTTCTAAAATTAGTTATACTTAAATGTAAAATAAGATACTTACCTAAACTCCCTTTTATCGTGTCTCAACAAATTTGGAGAGACAAACAAATTTCAATGTATACATAATACATATATTTATTTCCTTTAGGTTAGGTTTCTAAATTAATTCTTATCTTAACATACCATATGAAAAGCATGAATAAAATAGATATTTTTTCCAAGTTAAGTTATGTGTATTAATTCCTAATACGATAGTGATATTTTTCTATATAAGTTGTTTACTTAATTCTTTTGATATCAGTATCTAACAGTGAAGTTATATGTTGCATAAGATTTATTAAGTTAGATAATTTTTTTAAATTATGATTAATATATTTATTATGAGATTTTTTTCTTATTTTTATTTGTTCTATTTTAAACAATAAATTTTGTTTTATTTTGGAATGTTTGTGTTTAAGAAATTATAATATAAAAAGAATTTTATCAGCAATGAATATACAACAATGAAGTCGTGGGACAGACATGCATAGTCGAAACATATAAATAAAAGTCATCATTGAAAGAATATTATAGCATTTTTTTAATACCAATTAAAATAAATTTTTAATTACAAAATCAATAATTAATATTTAATTACTAATTAAATGTAATTTATAACCACTTTTTATTGTTTATCAATTATGAAAATTAAATGTATACTAATTATATAGGTTTTAAAATTTTATTATGACAATTGTCTAAAAAAAATAAATATTTAATATATGTTTTTATTTATTTAATACAAGTCGTTTGTTTGGATAAAAAAAGTAAAAGTAAATTATTTATATTTGAAATGAGATGCGATGATAAACGAGAACATATAATTTAAAATACGATAAGTTTATATTTTAAATTTATAATTTTATAATATATGTTAAGTCTCAATTATACTTCTTTTTGGACAAGACTTATTGAACAATTACATTCATCCTTTGAACCATTACAATATAATTGTTCTCTTTTTGGTTTATTTTGCGTGCAGATATAACTAACCTAAATTTAGCTAACAATACCTTAATACACCTCATTTTTGTGCAGGTATTGAGCTAGAGACTTGAGGATTGAAGACCCATAGGATTGGAAATCTAAGAAGCTAAGGAGCAGAGAAGAGTGACTGCGCCAGGCGCATGATGACCCGCGCTGGGCTTGAGCGAAACAAAGTATCTCACCTCTGCAAGTCATAGCTGCGCCGGGCGCGAGACTACCACGCCGGGCGTGATCGAGACAGAGAGTATCTCAACTCTCTAGAAGGCATTGCGTCGGGCGTAAAAGCAATTGCGCCGGGCGTGTCCTGAGGCAGAGAGTACTTGACCTTCTTGGAAGGCCTTGCACCGGGCGCGAAGACTTATGCGCCGGGCGTGTAACCCTAATCTGACTCCCCAAGCTCGTATTTGAAGAAACTTTCGAGAGTTTTCTCCTTATACACACATTGGGCGCGTTTTAGGAGCTGCGGAAGGGATTCCCAGAGCTTGGAGCCATTCGTGTGTGGGTCTTTCCTTCGGTTCTTCATTCTCTCTTCATCTCTATTTTGTGTTTACCCTCATTGTTTTGAGTGGTTCTACCCATTGTTTTGTGGGGTTAGATGTAACCAACGAATT